AAATCTGTTTGACTGTAAACAGGCATGTCTGCACAACCTTTATCTTCTCAGATATGCGACTGTGATGATACACCCACACGACTTTATCTGGAACACAGACCAGGCTTAATAAAGTTTGACAGTAGCATCTTGTGTCTTTTTTGGTAGTAAATCATAAAATAAGTTTTAAACAAGCCAGGATTAGAGCTGCAAGGATTAGTTGAATGATCCATTGGTTGTTCCACAGAAAATGAATCGGTAACTGTTTTGATAATCAATCACCCATTTCAGTTATTTTTCAAGGAGAAATGCCAACTATTGTCAAGAGTGAGGATTTTGCTGCTTCTCTTTGTCAGATGTGCACACACACACACACACACACACACACACCTAAGAACTCAATAATCATTTACTGTCGGTGTCACCTGGTTCATTTTTGGTACTTCTACTTTGAATGTGGGTGCAACAATCACATTCACATAGGATGTTTTATTATTTTCTCCTACACACTAAAGCAACGATAAAATATGAAATTACATACTCAAACAGTGAAATTATTTGGTAGGAGTGGCTGTGTAGTTCACTGTGTTGGACAAATTTAAGATGTATATTCCCCCGAGGACCTGTGTTTTATGTTTTTACCAATGCAAGACTGATCTCCATCAAGTTACACAGGTAGGAGACACATACACATAGATTTTTTTTTCAGGAAATACGAAAATCTGGTCCTGGGCATTTAAAATGAAAGAGAGTAGGTCTGCAACTAATTTTTTTTTTTTGATCAATTATTATCTGCAAATATTTAATTATTTTGTTGTTTCATCTATACAAATAGTGAAAAACTACTATGCCTCCTAAGACTCAAACCTAAATATATTCAGTTTACTACGACAGATGACAAACAAAAGCAGAAAATCCTCACAACACAGAGGCTGGAGCAAGGACATTTTGGCATTTTAGCCTGAAAAGCAAAATATGTGCAGAGTATTTTTATGTCAGCTGGCAAATCAAGTAACTGTGTCAGAGATAATGAATTGACAGCCAACATTACTGCAACCCTCACAAATTAAAACAGTGCATCAAGTGCAGCCTAATTGCTTTATTACTATTTTAAAAACCTGTCCTGTAGCCTGAGTCGCTACAGGACACCAAGGTCGCACATATCACAAGAAAATAAAATTTGTTTCATGAATCACTTCAAAGTTACAGCGGTGAAAATGAGCCACTTTAAAACTACTTAACAGTGGAAAGATTTTATATTGGCCATCAGCACAACGGTAACCAGTTCATCGCTCATCCTACAGTGACTTCTCTGACACCAAACAAACTGCATTTCATATGCAGAGCCACTACACAGGCCACAGGACACAGAATGATGCCTGGTGGATGTAAATGAGCAGTATATAATGTTTCCTGGTCAGTTTATTGGATCAGAAAGCTTTGGCATGTTGGGGTCATTTTGAACCAATAAAGTAAGGGAGTAAAGTGACCTATTCTAGCAATTCAAACTTTTTTTATTAGCACAACACACTAATACTTGACTTATTGCCTCTGCCAGTGAGCAGAAAGGGGGAACAATGGGAAACTGTTCTCCTTTATAACCTGCTTTTAGGAGGCATCTCTGGAAAAGGCCACCTGTTTTAACCCCCTAACTTCTAGTCAGTATGTTACGTATTAATTATCTCTTACTCACATATGATCTGAGTAGACTTTAGCGCTGCTCTTTAAGATATGTGTGCTAATTTATGTGTAGTGCCTTTGAGTGCAGAGAGCCAGTAATGATAAGACACCACTGCAGCTGTTAAGCTAAATGAAGATTCCTTTTAAGTCAAGCCAAGAGTGAAGAGAACACACTGCAGGGACATGAAACACAGTCCACCCCCCTGTTTCTTTGTCTCTACCCTCTCACTGAACAGCCAAGTCTTACCTCATCCCCAGTCTCTCCTGCTAAAATCGTATGACTGTGGCTCCATCGTCTCTCTGCTCTACATCAATCTGCCTCAGTGCCCTCCACAATCCCATGACTGGATGCTGAGCTATAGTAATTAGAGCAGGCTGATACAGACAGAGGACACAGTGTCCCCTCATGTTCCCTCCACCTGGGCTGATATTTTTAGACCACCTTGAACGAGACTGAACAGGCATCAACATGGCAACATGGCAGGGTGCCTGAGAGGCTGTGGTTCAGTCAGAGCATGCTATCCAAGACCTCAACATGGCAGTCAGCTTCTTTTTCTTCTCTTTTGCCTGTTTTCTTTACCCTCTCAACTCTTGGCCTGTCTAAGAGACAAGGAGAGCTTGTCTGGTTGCTTTGTTGGCCTGACTTTCTCTTGACACCTGTATTTTTCAAGAACCAGAGCCACAACCCATAACTATATTATCCACTGTGTCATTCTACCCTCACTGCGAATATTGCAGGATAACACAATAACACTGCATGCCATATAAAACAAAAATAAACACTCCTCTCTCTGTTTATATGCGAGTGTGTGCGCACATGTCCCCCGAGGCTGCGAACTCTGACTTTCACTGTGCCTGCATCTCGACCTCCTTTGCATATCAAGCTCCCGGTGTGTTCCAGTGAACCATCAACATTTTATTCACAAGATGCATATCTCATTTACAGCCTGCACACACACACACGGTTTTCCACACGGTTTTCTCTACCCCGGCCACCGTGCCAGGCTACATTTCTGAGCCGCTTATCTTAAAATGATGCAATTTTTCACCTCAGGGAGCACACAGGCATTCTCCTTCAAAGTAAATCTGGAGTTGGTGTCCAGATTTTAATAGCCTACACTCATACCCGAAAATAAAAAAATCAATTCACACACTGAGAATCCTGTTTTATTGAATTAATTTCATCAGTCTGTCCAGCAAATCTGACACACATCCAGTCACCTAAACAGATCCTAATTACATGCCCTGAAGCCTCTCCTGCAAGGACTTTGCACTGACTTGTTGGCCTCCTTTAGACAGTACACTGGTATGCCAGTTTAGGTCCTTCCCACGGCCAGTCAACAGGCCATATATTATCAGGGTAATTACCTTAGGAGAATGGATGCCTTTCTAATGCCTCCCCATTAGCTTCTTGGGTGCACTCAGCAAAGTCTCCTGTGTGCTGTGTATTCACTGTGTCATACCTCACACATTACGGCCATGAAACCAATACAGACACACACAATAGCACATTTTCTAGACAGCAAATTTAGCGACAGCAATGGAAGGTCAGCGAAGCGACATGCTATGAGTGATGTTGTAGCTGAGGTTTACTTCTCTGTGAAGCTATAAAGATACACTAGACAGCAGACAATTGGTTTACCTTGTGTTTCACATTTATCTTAGAAATAAGTGTTTAAAAAAATCTATTCTCTAATCAGACTACAGCTTGTCTGGAAAAAATAAATAAAAGGAAGTCAATTCCTTGTTTATTTGCATGAAACTGTTGCCCAGGTCAACAGAAGAGTCAACACAAAGCCAGGTGTTCAACAGCTGTGTCCAGTGAGGTTAGGCCATCAAATACCACCTGGTGTGTTTATGTGCGGGTCTACTTCTTAAAGGACTAGTTCAACATTCTAGGAAATATACTTCAAGAGTGGGATGAGAAGACCGATATCACTCTTAAGTCTGAATATGAGGCTGTAGTTAGCAGCTGGTTAGCTTAGCTTAGCACAAAGACTGGAAACAGGAAGAAACAGCAGGTAGTAAAAATTCACTATTTAATGGCTGGAACCAGCTGCCAAGCAAATAGTGGAAGCTTCAGGAAGTTACCAGTCATTCTGAACATATGCACTAGGAAGAAGGCAAATTATAGTTTTTACGCTTTGGTTTTTGTAACGATCGAACAAACAAAATATAACATTAACTGGTGCTAGTAAGCTAGATTTTGATTACGTTGGACAGAAACATGTTATTTGTTTCCACCTGTTTCCAGTCTTATGCTCAGCTAAGCTAACTGGCCACTGGTTATAGCTTTATAATTTCCTCACAGACATGGCAGTGGTCTTCTAATCTAATTCCCAATAACTCTGTTTTGTCATACAGTACAAGTAATTTTTATCATATCCCTGTTGTTTGAGTGGATCATCTCTGTGTGTCCTCAGACCAGCTAATCTAACAGCACATTATCTTTGTGTTTACTCAGAGGCTGGACTACTTAGCATCACAGCGTGAAACCCATAAGGTGAGTATTTTCACAACCTCTGAGCACACTGACCACCCCGAGTACATACACAAACACACACCCTCCGACTGACCATCCGGCCAATGTGTTTGTGCCATTAGAACAACTGCCAGTTGGTGGAGCATTTTGCAACCAAAGCATCCTACAATACTGATGATGAGGGCCATCAAGTATGGCCAGGGGGGCATGCGAGACAAACACTAGCCCTCCTTTATTTTCTTTTCACAGCTGACTGTCATTCCTGTGTCATTCTTGTTTTCTTACAGCAGCTTTTTCACAAGAAAGAAAGAAAGTAAGAGGAAAGGAGTTGTCTCTCTCTCTCTCTCTCTGTGTGTGTGTGTGTGTGTGTGTGGTCGTGTAGGATGCAAAATGTGAGTGTTTGTTTCAGTTGACAAACATCAAAACATACACATACCAATCCAGTGTCTCATATGTGCAATGATTTTTAGGAATGAGAACGATGCCCCTGATGAGAGAAACTCTTTCACTGGCAATTTAAACTGAGTTTGATTGTCTGCACAATAAAGCTCATAACTGCCAACAATAATTGGTTCTCCTTAAGAAGATGAAAACTAGCTATAACAAGTAAAATACTCAGTACAGTCCTGAAAATCCGACTGTAAATGGCTCGTTTTCACCTCAGCACCGGGATGTTTCAGATAATAGAGTTACTCCCACCTTTTCCAGATGTGCTCTAGCTGGTTTTTGCTTTGTGGACAAAGCTCCTCTTTAAGGTTACTTCAGACAGACACTTTTGATTATAAACTGTTTAAAAGATATTGGACACATTTTAAACCCTTTTACTCCAAGTTAAGAGTGAAAATAAAGTCAGTTTTACCTGAGCGTTACAGAAAGCCGCGGCCAGCAGAAGGAACACAGCGACAGTTCGCAACATCTGGACAAAGAAAGAGAGAGAGAGAGAAAGTAAGGATTACTTAAGGAAGAAAGAATATAGGAGTTTTACGTTCCCACCCGTTCCCACGCCAGTTCCTTGGTAGGCTGAGAAAACTTGAGGAAAGCCCCACTTTTAGCGCGCTACGTTACCATTTTTGAAAGCTTCTCCGCTCGGAAATCAGCTCGGAGGAGAGGAGCTGGTCTGAATGTTTGTCGAGCAGGAGGTCCGTGATTTCAAGAAATCTGAGGAACGCCGAGGAATTCGTGTCAGTCCGTCAGTCTCTCCTCCGCCCCTCTCACCGCCGCGGCCAATGAAAATGTCTGGAGTCCGCGGAGGACGTTTACAGGACCGCGGAGGAGGGGGAGGACACGGAAAGTATGCGCGCAATCTGTGCGTGCAGGCCGGCCTGCTTAAAATACGTGTAGGCTAATACTTATAAATGGTTTTGCCAATTGCATTTTGCAAGAAACGTACTGTAATTGCTGCGAAGATTATGTTCACTGGCACTGTGCCACTACTACCTTATCACCTATAGTGCATCTATTTCTACTGTAGTAATACTGCTCTAGGCTGTAGCAGTTATCTAAAGTCATCAAGCCGTCTTCATCAGTGACTTAAAGATGTATTAGTTGGTTCTTGACCACTAATGGACCGATGAGCATCTTTAAACAAAATCGTTAAGAGGCAAGTTAAAGTATTTCTATTTACATGGCAGACAGATGTGTGCATTTACCATCTGGCATGAAACTGAAGCAACATTCTCTCTCCTTTTAGGTTGTTAAGAAAGAATCAGTGAATGTAGATGTTCAGCTACACCAGCTAGATGGGCTAGACAAGTAAGGTGCCATATGAAACAACACTTGGAAATAACGTATGATCCTTATAAGTTTGTATGACCTATATCTATTGTCATCTGGACATTATAATACCAACGGGAATCCTTGTTTAATTAAACAAAGAGTCTTTTAGTTTATGTAGAAAGTGACACCAGCAAAGAAAATTCACAAGATTTTATTCAGCCATATTTTTCAGCCAGTAGAAATCGAGCTGTATTTGTCAGTTTGTGGTTCTACTCAGTCAAAAAAAAATAGTATCTGGATTTTATTTAATATATTGTGGATCATCAAAAGCACAAGAAGCATAGTGACAGTCTGCCTCAGCAAATGCAAGACCTTTGAATAATTCCAAGGGAAGGTCAATTGAGTTTATAATTTATGTGGTTGTTTTTCTAATGAAAAATAATCTCCAAACCCAAAAAGTCAGTGGTAGCCTATGGGTATAATGGCTCACATTCTTAGCTTCTGCATAAAAGTATGCTGTCAGATAGTATTTTAAAGAGATACGACATGGTGTTTTGTTTGAGTTGTGATAAAGCAATTCTTCTTTGATTTTGCTTGCCCAAGACTTATTTGTTACACAAATGTAAATAATATAAATGAGAGGGTCCTGCTAAGTTTTGGTGTTTACCTGTTGTAACATTTATTCTTATAATTTTCATACATATATCATATTTCAGCTATAAGCAGGTTGTCACATCATTGATTTACAAGGCATTCAATCAGAACTACATCCACAGAAACAAATATTGAAAAGCTGATGTTTAAAGGTTCTTATTATTTCAGTATTTTAGGATTAGAAACCACCCCTAGTGTGCCTGCTCTAGCAAGGAGTAATTAAATAGTGATTAAGAAGGACAGACTGAGACGCTGAACACCACAGCACACTGAATTTTGAATAGAAAGAAGTGGAAGAATGAAATTTTCTCACTGCAAGCCATCAATTATATATACTTTCATCCCCTCTGAGGAAATATACCTGTTTAAATAGAGGCTGTGATTATTAGTCACCCAGGGCTCTTTGTATGAGAGTGTGTTTGTGTGTAGTGGTGTTTCTCATTCTACCTGCATTGTTATTGAATAACAAGCAGGTAGAAATATGAAAAAAAAGCCCTGGCTTTTTCGTTGCTAGAGTTTGTTTTATGCTGAGATGCCCTCGTGCATATTGTTGTCTCACTTAGCCGACGACCTTTGTTTGTCTCCCTAAGCTGTGTGAATGGAAGGTTTGTGTTTGTGTGTGTGTGTGTGTGTGTGTGTGTGTGGGTGTGGGTGTGTGCTTCCCTTTGGGAGTTACAAAATAAAACTTGGACTGGGAAACTAACAATGCAGCAGAGGCTAATTTAAATTAGCATGTTGGTATGAAGACTAAAATGTCGTCACTTTCTTTCTTAACTCTTAAGGTTAAAAGTTATAACTTGTTGGAGGCTGACCTGGTCTGCTAAAAATGATGTTTATATACAAGGAAACAACTTGAAAGAATGCATTTTTTGTGATAAAATGTCAGTTTTTAAAGGGGAACTCAGCTGATTTTACATATACATTATCTGTTCACATCTTACCAACTGCCTCACTGAGTCAGTGCTGGTTGGGGCTGAAGGCTCAGTGACTCCTAAGGGCAACACACACTGGGGGCATGTACTATGCATCACATGACATGACGTGAAGTGACCTTGTCATCTGGCTTCTCTTCTGGACAGCTCCCAGAAGAGAAGCCACTATGGCTCAATCGCCCCCTGGTGGCTGGTTGCAGTATAGAGCATAAATCTCCCACATCAAAGTTAGTGGATGGGACATGAGCCAAACTAAAAGCTCTGAAACCTCAAAATACAAATCAAATAAAGTTTTCCCAGAGGTGATTTCTGTGGGTTTTGATAGATATTACCACGCTGATGTGTGTTCAAGTGGTCAGTTTCTGGTAAGTTATTTTTAACAAGTCATTTGATGATATAAAAAGGAGTGTATTTTGGTTGATTTGACAGCTTTGGTTGACAGTCTGATACATCACTCAGCTACACTGTCATTACTCTGCAGAATCTGGTAGGAAAAAGTAAGATGGCAGCTGTCATATTCACAATGAATTGGCTTCACGTTTGCATAGTGGAGGGAAGTGGTGATGCCATATCCATCGTATATACCGTCAACTAACTGGGACCTCTCATCTCCCTCTTTTGAGATGTTCAGCCTGAAAAGGTCTGGGGCAGTTGTTTCCAGACTTTTCTACTTCGACTCTAGATAGGAGCTCCAGTTTTCGGGGATAATCCTACACATCCCACAGTTTCATCAGCCGATATGTGGCAGAATAAATTAGCTGCAGGCTAAACATAACATCTGAAAGACAAAATTGCAAAATAGCATCACAATAAACATTTTTTTCTTATTAAGATTAATTATAATCAATAGTTGACATCCTTGTTCCTAACCCCTGACGCATCTTGTTTAGTCTTACATACACATGTAGGTTTTTTATGTCCACCTGCTAGAATAACTAATGCAAAATATTAATAGAGGAAAATGCAAATAAAGTGTTATAGGTGCCACTTGATTGATATGTTATGCAAAAACTGAGAGACAGTTCATCTGCTTTCTCAGTTTTTACCACCTGTTTTCCACACACGCATGTGTACACACACACACACACAAACATCTATACAAATATATTTAAAATATTAAACACCATATCAGAAAATAATACATTTACAACAGGGTTGGTTCCACTATGTTTTGTGAGCAGCCGGGAAAAGATGAATACTTCATCAGAAAAGTGTTTCGTTTTTCCTCTTGCTATATCATCTCTAAAACAATACATTTTGTTCTCCCCTTCAAAGCCATCAGTGTGAAAACTGTGTTCTGATACCACTGATTTAAATTAATTTAAATTCATGCACTGTACTCTTGCATGTGAGCAAATGCAGTATTCAGGATGGAGAACAGAGGTTTTAGCTCCTCTGATGTGTCTCTGTGTTCTGCCAGGGGCTTTCTGAGAGGCATCTCAAATATTCACAAACATCCATCAATGCCTGAAAGGGTCAGGGACTAGCTGTAGTCACACAAATGCTCTCTCTCTCTCTCTCTCTCTTTCTCACACACACACACACATAGCATACACATTCAGTTAGTTTCTCTTTTTGCTTCTGGAGATTTTTAATCTGTTTTTTTGTGGTTTGCAGAAATGTGATTCAATGGGAGCCCCTGTATGTTTTCACTATGTGTGTTCATGCATGCACAAACACATAGTTTGTGTGTGCACACTTCAAGGGCTCTTGGTGTCTTGACAACAAATATAGTTATTCTGGGTAAATGTGAGGTGGCAAAGAGGTATGCTGCAATGTGTGTGGAAAGTGTGTGGTTAAAGGTTGAGGGTTGAGGCTTCCTGCATTAGGTACATTTGTACTCTGCAGAACCAGATAATATGATCAAGCTTAAGTGCTCCTGTTTCACTCTGTTGTGCACAATATTGCTCTGCCCTCATGATTTCCCAGTTAAACATAGCCTATTGAAGAGAAGAAGGAGGGATAATGAATACAATCAAAACAGATTATCAGTGCTAATCATAGTTGTGTTAAGATAAATACTTTGTACTGATTTTTTGTTCTTAATGAAAACAAATGAGATTATGCTGAAAATACCTCTTTTTCTTGCTTGTTAACCCATCCTCTTCTCACTCAGTCTCTATGGCCATGGTGCCTACTGACTCCCACTACTAAAGACGTCATTCATTAACCTGGAATTAAAAAAAAGCACTGACTGCAGACACGCGCACATTTGCACATGTAGACATATACAATAAGTGAGAGAGCATGTGTGCAAATAAGGAAATGTGTTATATCAGCCATACTATATGACACACACAGATATGTGAGAAACACCTTTGGAAGGTCTTTTTCCCCAAATGCCACATAAATTGAAAAGGCCTGGTTCACTCTTCTGTTAGTCCCAGGCCTCTGCAGACATTTTGTCAACCTGTATCCAAATAGATCTTCAGCCTATAATCAAATTCTGTTCCATCAGCCCTGCATTAAGAGAGAGAGAGAGAGAGAGAGAGAGAGAGAGAGAGAGCTTTGATAGTAAATAAGCTTGTAGAATAACACTGTGTATACCACATACATTCCACTATTTATTGTATAATTTTGTTATATGAATCAGTTACTACTGTTAGTTAAATGTAGTTACAGTAGAAGAGAACAAGCATTTGGGCGAACAAGGGAGCAACATTGGGCCTTTTTGAGGAAAAGAAGAATAGATTGCACTGTATTTTTGTGTTTTGATAACACAAAGAAACAAAGCCTGACTGAAACAATAGGGTTAACAACACTGATATCCTTTATAAACTATAATTTAATTATGGTATAACATATTTCACAGTTAAAATATACACTAAATTAACCAAAGGGATGTCTCAAAACTCAAAGGGCATATCAAATATTTTTGATATATGGGCAGTCACCAGTGCTGCAGG